GCGGCAGGCGCGCCGGTGAGGGCATCAGCGGCGGCGCCGTTGTCGGCGGGGGCGGTGACCTCGCTCGACGGGGGGGGGGCTGAGGCGGTGGCGAGGGCCAAGGGCGCCATGGGGGGCAGCGGCATTTATGTGCCTTCTTGCGGCACCGAATGCAGATGCCGTTGATGATGCCATTGCAGTTGCACCACCGCGAGGCTTTGTCTTCCCGGCCGCAGTTTTTGCACGGTGGTTGCGTGGAGGGGGCGCGGGGGCGTGTCGCGGCAGGGGCGGGGTGGGTGAGGCCCCACATCGTTGGGGCGTCTTGCCTGCCATAGTAGGACTCGAACTCACTGAAGGTATAGGCCACACCGTCAAAGTCGGTGTGTCGCCCCCTGCGGTCTTGGGGTGGTGGCAGCGACAATGGCGGCGGCGAGGAGAGGGCGCGGGGGCGTGCCGCGGCAGGGGCGGGGTTGGTGAGGCCCCACGTCGTTGGGGCGTCTTGCCTGCCATAGTAGGACTCGAACTCACTAAAGGTATAGGCCCCACCTTCAAAGTCAATGTGACGCCCCCTGCGGTCTTGGGGTGGCGCCCGTGGTGGCTTCGGCGGCGGCGGCGGCGGCAATGGCGGCGGCGAGGGCGGTGACGAGGGCGGCGGCGGCGGGGAAGGCGGGCTCGGCGGCGGCGTTGAGGGAGGTGGTGAGAGCGGGGGCAACGATGGCGGCGGCGAGGGACGTCGGGTTGGGTGGTTGGGTCGGGTCGGGATGGCGGGTCGCCGGGTCTCGGCGGGTCGGCGGCTGGGCGGCGGCGGCGCGGGCGGTGGCGGCGGCGGCGGCGAGGGCGGCGGCGGCGAGGGCGGTGGTGGCGAGGGCGGTGGCGTCGGGGGTGGCGGCGGCGAGGGCGACGGCGGCGGCGGCGGTGGCGGCGGGGGCGGCGGCGGCGGCGGCGGTGGGGGCGGCGGCGGTGGCGGCGGCGGCGACGAGGGCGCGGGCGGCGAGGGCAGCGGCGAGGGCGGCGGCGGCGAGGGCGGTGGTGGCGGGGGCGATGGGGGTGGTGACGCTTGTGGCGGCTGCGGGCTTTCCTCGAGGTCCGCGTGCATGTCCGAGCTGCCGGCGGCGCCAGAGCTGGGCTGAGACGTTTGCGGGCGGGGCCCGTTGACTCTGACCACCTCCACCTCCTCGTCGCGGTATCGGCCGTGGGCAAAGTCAGGCATCTCGGTGTGTAGAGACCCTCTGGTTATCCAGGCGACATGCCACGAGCCGTCGACCGGTTCGACGGGGCCGCCGCAGAAGTCTCCCAAGCAGTACTGCACCTTGGCCGACCATAACTCGCCGCACGCGCAGCAGCGGAGGTCGTTGCCCTCTTGCCAATGATATGCTTCGTGTTCGTCCCAGGTTTCGTCGAGGGGCCAGCTGCACGTCGGGCATTGGTTGGCGTCGGCCGGGATGTGGTCCTGCCCGCAGCGTGAGCAGGGCAGCTGTGGGGTGGCTGGGGGGGAGGGGGTCGGAGGTGTCGCTGGGGGAGGTGGAGGCGTCGGTCGAGGGGGTGGGGATGGCGACGGTGAGGGTGACCTCGAGGAGGGCGGCGGTGGCGAGGGCGGCGGTGGTGGCGGTGGCGGGTGGGGCGGAAGTGGCGAGGGCGGTGACGGCGGGGGTGTGGGTGGCGGGGGCGTCGGCGAGTGCGGTGGCGTCGAGGTTGGCGGCGACTGGGGTTGGGTCGACGGGGGTCGTGGTGTCGGCGGGGGGGGTGGCGGAGGGGGGGGGGTCGGAGGCAGAGGCGGCGAGGGTGGAGTTGGCGTTGGCCGAGGTGGCGGCGGCGGTGCGGGCGGGGTGAGCGGCGTGGGTGGTGGTGACAGGGGCGGAGGCGGCGAGGGCGGGGGGGGGGGGGGTTGCGGGGGTCCCCGGTTTGGGTCCCGGTTTTCCCCTCCTGATTCGTAGTCGGATGCCTCCTCCAGAGTGGACAGCTCTCCTTCCGTCTCGTGTTCTGCTACTCCCTCCATCGGAGGCATGTCTTCGGTGTCGGTTGCGTACGCCTCTGCAGCCTCTGTGCGCTCCTCTTCGTGCGGGTTGGGGCATCCGACCTGTTCGAAAGCGGCTCGGATCCTTGCCATGTCCTCCATGCTCATGTGGCTTCCCCACTCGCAGACGTGGCTGCGCATGCTCTCAAACGGGGCAACGCCCGAGCACATGAAGGTCGCGTCGTCCCAGCCCGTGCCGAGCATGGCTGGGAGGTGGTGTCCTAGTCCGATCCCGCACAGCACTTCTGCTATCAGCACGCATTCTGCCTGTCTGGTAGGCGTGAGCGGGAGCCCCTCCATGGCCCTCTCAATAGTCGTGGTGTCTGCCCCGACGTATTGTAGCGCTGCGAGCACATCCTCGATTGTCCGGTCCGGTGCTACTTCGGTAGGTGAATGCGATGGCGGTGGTGGTGGCGTCGGGGGCTGGGGCTGCGGTGTCGGGGGCGGGGGCGGCGGCGGCGAGGGCGGTGGCGGCGGTGGTTGTGAGGGGTGTGGCGGTGGCGGCGGCGAGGGTGGTGGCGACGAGGGAGGCGGCGGTCGCGAGGACGAGGGCGGCGACGGCGATTGTGACGGCGGCGAGGGTGGCGGCGCTTGTGATGGCGGTGGCCGCGGCGTGGGTGTTGTCGGCGAGAGTGCCGGCGGCGAGGGTGGCGATGGCATTGGTCGCCCGGGTTGCGGCGGCGAGGGCGGTGGCGGCGAGGGCGGTGGCGGCGGGGGTGGTGGTGGCGGGGGTGGCGGAGGTGGGGGTGGTGGAGTCGAGGGTGGCGGCGGCGAGGGTGGCTGCGGCGAGGGCTGCAGTGGTGGGGGTGGCGGTGGCGGGTTTGGCGGTGGTGGGGGCGGCGTTGGTGGGGGCGGCGATGGCGGCGGTGGTGAGGGCGGCGGTGGCGGGTGTGGCGATGTCGGGGGTGGCGGTGGCGAGGGTGGCGAGGGTGGTGGTGGCGAGGGTGGTGGGGGCGGCGGCGGCGGGGGTGTCGGTGGTGGCTGTGGTGAGGGTGGCGAGGGTGGCGAGGGCGGCTTTGGCGAGGGTGGTGGCGGTGGCGGCGGCGGTTAATGTAAATACTATCGGTGTAGGGTCAG